CCAAGAAATATGTAATATTTGCTTAGTGAGAAAATTATATTCTGTAGTTTTTATAGAGTGATTAGATATAAATGTTCTCGAGATGGAAACAATAAATTTAAGAATTGTGTTCGTTTATAAACTGCAGGAAAATAAAACTGATTATCCAGTAATTAAGACGGTATAAAAGGAGTTCGACTAGAAGGAGGAAAACTCCTTTATAAAATCTTCAGATCGTTTAAAAGCATTTAGAGACGATTTCTTCAATTGTCAAGTCAACACGCAAATACCTTTTAAATAGCCATTTGCGAAAATAGTTCTCGGTACTTAAATTCCACTTCATCAAGGCCTATTTAAAAAAGTATGAAGGCTGAATTCCATTTTCTATTCAATTATAGCGACAGAATGTCTGAGTAATTAAATTCGATACATCATTCCTCGAATATCAGTCCTATTTTTTTCTCATTAATCTTGTAACGTATTTTATAATTTTTTCTATGTAATAATTGTATAATTTCTCACTGTTTGAATTTCGAATAAAATTATTTACATTTTAGAATTATGAGTTTGTTTTAATTATATATAAATCGTTCAGTCTCTTATAAAGAGTGAATCACGAAGGTCGACGTTGAATGAAAGAAATAGCATTAGTAGAGCGATTCATTGCGTATATCCGCGTGCCGTGGCTGAAGGTACATACGTACGTACGTACGTGCACGCATGTACGACCCACGCGTGACCTGAGATTTCGTGTTACAAACCGTCAGGGCCCGAGATGAGGATGTGACGTTGCCTACAGATTTGTTAATTTGTTATTCCGCTGGTTGATCCTCGCATTGCATTAATCAACCAATTAAATGACGCGATTTTTAAATATACCAGTGGAATAAAGAGCTACCCTCTTGACACTAGAACTATCAAAGTCAAACTGACTGACTTTAAATAAAGAAATACAATTGGAAAAAAGGTGGATAGCTCTACTATTAAATTAGTGGACGTTTTGTCTCATTAAATACTATCAGAAAAGAGGTGACAATTGTTTGTTACGAGGCACGCGATATAATAATTGCCGTGCGAAATATGAACTGAATCGATCCTTCGATTACAATTAGAGAATAAAACCGGCCCAGTTTCGCATCAATTAAAGAGGAATTCTTCTTAAGGAATGGAGATCAGATGTCAATAGGCGAATATCGTTCCTCCCAAACGCATTCAAATATAGACTGTGTAATAAATACCTAATAATAGCTTGTTACTATGTTTCCATTCGTTTTACTCAATGATAATAATCGAACGGGTCGTAATATTTGATCACTCCCTGATATTTTATGGTTCAAACCCATTTTCAAAGATTCTATAATAAAATCGACAAATGAACTATTTGAAATGATACCTCAAGGCTCGAAACCGAAGTAATTATATATTATATATTATTATATATTTCTTATAATTATAATTATATATTATTTCATAAAATTCTTATAATAATATAATTTAATTAATTGTCTTATAAATAGTAATAAAAAGTAATCTAGAAATACTGTTTTTTATTATTGTCTTATAAATAGTCTTATATAATAATAATATATAAATGTCTTATAAAATACTGTTTTTTATTATTGTCTTATTATTGTCTTTATAATTGTCTTATAAATAGTCATAAAAAGTAATCTAGAAATACTGTTTTTTATTGATACCAATAAAACTTGACTTGATGTCACATCTTGCTGCATAATAAAAAATTAATTTGTTCGCGTAATTGATTTCGCTATCAACTTTCTTCGCGACTGGTTTTACTTTCATTCGGAGAGCCGTAATCGGACGGTTGGCCCTGCGTGGCCTGTAATTTGTAACAATTGCGTGATAGCGATACGCGGTTGATGATTCGCGCCTGCCGCATTATCTCGGTTGTGTCGTGGTCGTCGTCGTCGCGTGGACGTGTGTTCGCGCGTAATCCATTCGAACGTTAACGAACGGACGACCGTGGCTGATCAGCCTTCAAGGCCTTGACCGCGTCCTATCTATCCCTCTTTCGACATTTCGTTCCTCTATCACCGGCGCTCGTTAAACCCAGTGACACCCTGCTGGATCAACATTTCGTTGCTTCCCGCCGCGATCTCTCGCTTCCTGCGCTTTAACCCGCTCAACGACGCAGTGCGCGTCTTTATCAAGTCATTAAAATACATTATCTTAATCCGCCGGCTGGGCTTCCGTTCAATCAGGCGAGCCTTTAGTCAGTTTAATTAATCCCTGACTCAATTACGGATTCGAGTGCCCTAATCAAGGCTTGGCAAATCGCGTTCGATCTTAGAATTCTGATAGAGGATTGCATTTTGTAATTCTAATTTAATGATATTATCGGGAAAAATAGACTAGATCCGATAATCGGGTTTCTACTTTATTTGTAAAATTCAAATGCGAGCGTCTTCCGGACGAGAAACACGAGAGGTAAAACGAGACAGACAATCGTTTGTTAGTTTACGTTCTTACGTATGAATGGCAAAGTGCAGGTTACAAAAATACTCCGAATGGGACTACCGAAATGACGAATTATTTGCGTGAACGCGTGGCGCCGCGATTAAAATAAACACACGCTCGATACGTGCCAACAATTTACGAGGCTACGCGTTTAACGAGTGTGAGTATGACTCGCGAGGCCCGATTTTCATAGTCCCATTAAACATTTATGAACCGCGGTATGATAGAGACTCCGGGAAATAACAGCCCCTCTTTGTCATCGTCAGTGACGTTCGAGGAAACAGAGCTAGCCAATCACTGTCCGCATGCTAATTTGTTAAACTATTTTTTCTGCTATTTTCGAAATGCAGACACAGGATAATGCAATAGAGACTGTTGACTCTGAACATTGTCTGAATGATGTTAAACGTACGGTGATTATGTTTCTTTTTTTAGGAAACTAAGAGACGAATCAAGAATTGCATTTAAAATGTTCTAATAAAATTTTGATTGTCAATTTTTAATTGTTCTAAAACTGTAGAGCCTTGGAATATTTATAATAGATCAGAAATAATATTAGAAAAAATATAAAAATCATATAATCAAACTTGAAATGTTATTGGCAATGAACAAAAATTGAAAACATTGCAACTAATTAACTAGACGATGGTTGCATTTATAAGAATTGGCATGAGAAAATATCCTTCGCCTTATAGATAATAGTCGCCATTCTATTTACATTCGAATATGTAAAATTTTAATATCCATTAAAAATATGCCGAGAAATTTTTGTTATCTATTATGTCTTCACTGACGTATTTCGTCCATTCGTTACGTTACACTTTGCATATGTATAAATTATAAAACAGCTTTGAGGAAAACAAACAAAACCTACGATTATATCATGAATTCATTAAGTGGTTTGCCAAATTAAAAAAACTATCATTTAGCAAATTTTAGAATAGATCTAAAAATTCATTAACGTCTCTTATAATTAAATTGTATCCGATTAAAGGAGAGGGGAATTAAACGACCCTATCGTGAACAATCAAAGAAAAATTGACGTTACTTAGGTTTAAATGAATAACAGACGGGGATTCTATGGGCAGATCGCTCATGGTCATGGGTAACGTCGAGACCGATTCCGGAGTGCAAATTTACAATTGTTCCATTTGCGGTGCTGAAGAGATTAATACCATTCACAGTTAAGTGAACTACATAAGTGAGCCAATGAATACAAAGGGTGACACTCGTCGCTATTCCAAAAGGAAACAATTAGAATTGAACCGTGTCAGCTGATAGAACAGAAACTCGTTCAAAGTTTATTTAAAAAAAAAATATATATATAATTTTTATCAGTACCGGAAATTACTTTAGCTTTTTGTTCAGATAAAAAATAATGGATTTGTTTCCAGTCCTCTTGAGATAAGAATTGCATCGAAAGACGTACGGAAATATATACGGCCAGTCTAACTAAATACATACTAGTACGATAGTAACGCATTAGCATTGTCTATTCTCTAAATTCGCGGAGGCGAATGGCAACGTATGGTTGAAACATCGGTTTTATTAAGCTTGATTAGCGTTCGAACGCGATCGGTCGCGCTGGGATAGAACGAGAGGGGATGTTCACGTGAGACGCGCCACGTCTATTTGCTCTTCCTATTTTCGTAGCCGTTCGGTATATAAAGAGCCCGTCCTCGGGACATTGCCGAAAGATTTGGCAGCGATCCGCAATTTTCTGCGCCGCGGCACCGCCGCCGCGGGTGTGCCGTACAGAAGTACGGCCATAGTTTACCCGGACGGATCGCGGTCGGAGGTACCGTCTCACGCGAATTCCACGATCGTCTGGTTCGCGTCGTTTTAACGTACAAGTGCGCGAGTGTATAAATTCGCTGAATTCTGTCTGGACGCCTCTCGGTTTTCGAGACTCGAATGAAATGTTTTTGCGAACGCGAGTATCGTTTACGTAAAATTTCACGAAAAGTGGATCGGTGATTGTTAGATCCACGTGCTCGAAAGTGCGGGTGCACCTGTTCGTACGCGCGGACCACCAATTGGCGATCAGGGATAATCGGCCGCGATTGCCAGCGAACTGGGACAAACCGGATCGCGTTCGAGGCATTGGCTGCGAGCACCGCCGGTTTTTGGCACCGATGGATAATTGAGACACGTGGCGTTACTACCGACTGTCCTGTGGTCTCCCAAAGTAAAGAAAATAACGCGTGGGTGGGAGGACAGGTGGAATAGTGAATATCGAGAAGGAATGTCAGACGCGACACGTTGCTAATCGGGGGACTGTGCGATGGGGAACGTTGACAGTATCCACGATGTGGAGATGAGCTCCTTTTCTGGGGTGGATAACGATCGTCCTCACATCAGGGTGAATACGAATGATCGACTTAGCTCGGACGTGGTTTGTCATTGTTTCGTACTATTGTTGGGAATGTATGGTCGAGTGAATTTAACAATTCATCAACAATTGTTATTTTTTTCACGTTTTGTTTCACGTGAAAAAATAATTCGAAGCTTAAAATTCTTGAAGGTATCAATTATTTCTATATAAAAGGGAAAATAACAAATGGAAAAATAAATAATTTTCACTGAGAGTCATTGATTAAGTCTGCCATTTAGTCACATTAAACGACAATTAATTTTATCACACACATTCGTTTTTCTCGTACTCAGCAAAAATTCACTTTCTATTTTAAACTATTAACTGGCTTTGCAATTTGGACTCCCACACGAGGACTTAAAAATAAATCGAAATAAACCAACTTTCGTTGTCTGCAAACGACAACGAAGTAACAGTATTGAAATTCGAAAACAAAACTGCAGAATATCATGAAAGGAACAGGTTGAGCTTTCTTAAATGTGCAACAAGCACAAAGGGGAGTAAGATATTCGATTCTCAAGTTTCCATTTAATGGCGATGTTTAAAATTCCTACCGAGAATAACCAAGTAACAGTCTAAATAGACAAATCCTCTCGACTGAGAACTGATCACACTGAAATAACTCACGAACATTTTATTAAGAAAACAGAACCACTGCATCGACCTATTAAATTCTAATCATCTATTATACGAACGTACAACTAAACCTGCACAAAATGTTACAAGGAATGCTTTGAACTTTCTTAAAAACCAGGTGTAATAGTAGAATAATAAGAAAGAGATATACGATATTAATTTTTCATATTTTCATGACGATGCATTGTGCATATAGAAAGAGGCGACGACGAATACTAGAATCGCGTCGATTTTCCCCGTTTTGCCGACGTGATAATTACCATCCACATAATCGCCTATTGTTATCGAGAATGGCGTAGTTGAATACTTATCGCTCAGTTACGTAAAGACTTTTCTCTCACTTTTTTGCCTTGCTATCGGTCAGTTCCTCGTGTTTCGCGCGTGCTTCACCACTAAACTTCTTACGCATAAGTCGTCGATATTGTATAGTAAAATTAACATCGGACGGTTTTAACCAAATGTAAACGGGAATCGAACAGGTTTTCAAAGAATCATGAGTGAACCGTGTAATTTATCAACTCCTGACTCTGTACTTCCAATTATTATGCAGCGTTCGTACGATACGATGTCGGTGAGTTTACGTCATTAAAAAAAAAATTAATGATCCTGGGGATGGTATAAATAAAATGATATAATAAATATATAATGATGGTATAAATGATAAATGATGAAGATGGTATAAACTGGAATACTTAGTCCATTAAATACAATAAAATAGAAATAGAAATGACGAATCATCGATCGCTGACACAATTCGCATAGAATTAATTGTAAGATTAAGACTGACGAAAGGTTGGAAAACGTTAAGTGAGCCAAAGATCATTAAATGAACTGTGACAATCAAACATAATTCTGAATTGAAAATTCTTAGTCATGTAAAAAAGAAAAATAAGATAAATATTCTAATTAAAATAAGAAACGTGAAGAGCGAAGATAAAATAATCATCCGGGGTTAAATATTCGCGCGATATGAATGAAGTATCTTGTGCAAATGTTTCCAAATTTATTCCACTTTGTCAATTTGTATGAATTAAATATGTACTTTACTTGTCACGAGATTAAGAAATGTGTGAACTAATTAACGATAACGGAGCAACGGTTTTTGTTAATGGATCGATTATTACTTTTTCAGAGAACGCCGATGCGCCCGATGATAGCGGAGTACGACCCAAAGAAGCACGGCGTGAAAACAGAACTGTCTGACATGGTTCTCGTCAAGTAAGTGAGAATATGTTGGTTTTGCGCGTCGCGACGCCGGTTCGACGGTAACCCGGCCGATTTCGCTATCTGCTGCCACGACCGATCACCAACCATTTGCTTTATTGCCAAACTCGAAACGCTCCGTGCTCAAGCAAACGTGAGTGAGAAAACGAGGATCATATGTATAATTATGCATTATATCGTATACACGTGTATTCTCTCATTCTCTGTGTTTCATTAGACATATTTATTTAACATGCGACAATGGTTCCCAACTCGATCGTCACGACGACTACTTCCAATTCCAGACATTTATTTTAATCTAAAACACCGATTATTAGTAACGATTAAAATGATCTTACATATTTATAAAAAAAACCACAATTACATTCCTTTAGGAAGAGAATGTTTCTATATTAATTCTCCTATATTAAGTTTAGAGTATGGACGAATATTTTACCAAATAATTTACCAAACGGAGACACAAAAATCGGAACACACACCACTCGTACATGTATTGAAATCGTAAGCCGCAAACCATAATCCGAAGTTGTGAATTGTAATCGCTGACGTGGTCGTACGTCGTCGTTCGTCGATCCGTATCTCGTCGCCAACTGTCCTTTTCGGCTGACTAGCGATCGGTCTTCGCCCGATAATGCTAACGTCCCTTTTTTAAAATCGACTAATCGCGTCGCGCTCCTTCTCACACATGCACGCACACGCACTCGTTCGAATTAATGCTCCGCGATCCGCTGTTGTTCGCGCGGCTGTTTACGATTTTTTTTTGCCTGTGACGACCGAAATTTCTCGCTATTCTCAGAACTTCTTTTCAAACAAGATTTTAATGAAATTAAGTATACCACTTGGCAAATCGAAGGCATTATTCTAGGAGTACGTCGGGACCCGGAAAATGTTGGGAAACACTGTTAAATAATAATTAACATAGTTCCACTAAATAATTTCACAAGTTGTCTGCATATCGTAGTAGAATTCGTAGCGTAACTGGCATCACGATGGCTTCACGATTGATCGTAATTAGAAAAATCATTGAATTTATTACTGGTTTGTGCAACGAAAGCTTCCACTCATTAGCCGTCTAATCACACGTTTGATAATTATTTATTTCCGCTTCTCATAGCCCAAAGTAAATCTCATTCACACCATAAAATAATCATTTTTTATTCTGTTATTATCTGTATTGAATATTCGTCTTGACTTTAATCGCCGTCGTCTGTGTTCCAATATTTCTTACGAAGATTTATTCACGCGTTCATAGAAAAATGGATAGTCGTTGGTCAATATGCAAAATTCGAAATGATAGTCAGAGCATAATTTTGATTTACGGACACAGCGTTTTATAGCGTGCAATAAATCGTGAACTACGTGAAACAATATTTTTTCCCTGAATACTTAATATATGTAATCAGTTAAATTTCTTAGAATAACAGGCAAGGTAAATAAAGAAATAAATTACGTTTGTAGAAAATCTAAATGGGTTATGGACGGAAAATAAAATAGAAACTGTTTAGCATACGCCTGCATTTCCGTAAACGCAGACGATTAACAGTAATTACGTTTATCGGTGCACGTGATTGCGAATATTATAATACTAATTTATAATATACATATGTACTTCTACATATGCATTTGTAATTGCGTATTTAATAACGAATTTGTTATTCAGTAGAAAACGTTTATCAAAAGAGTTCATGCATTATTTCCTATTTTTAACCAGGTTGTGGATTTTATGTATTCACAGGAAAAATAATGAAAATAGGGTCAAGTAAATTCCTATGTCGATTCTACTTTCTACAGTGGCATTGCATAAAAATCCGCAGCCTAATTCTAAACATGAGTTCAAACTTTAAGTATAAAAAATTGCATTCAACGTGTTAGCATTGTTTAAGTATATAGC